ACCGTTACAGAATCAGCAGTTAGGTAAATGGGATAAGGTAATAAATTCCAATGAAGGCCACTTTGTAATTTCAGTACCCACTGAGGCGTTTAATGAAAATGTACTGTCTTTTATGCACGGCCCTGATTGCCGGCAATTTGCACCTCGACGTCGACGCTTCAGCGGACCATTAACAGGAATTTCTGGCAACTTAAGTGTACGCTGCAAATTGCAGTAAGAGGCCAGAAAATTGGTTCCACATTAGAGCAGTTGAAACAGAGTCGACCACAGTGCATTTAGCTGCCGTTTAGTCGAAACCTCGTCACGCATATAAACAAGCTTGAATCCATGCAGTCAAGTTACTGAACTTTTAGTGCATCATCATAAGATCGTCAGTCCTAAGACTGGTTCAACACGCACCTTCAACTTTTTCCCATACTAAGCCAATCTAGAACATCCCACATCGTTGGCTATTTGCGAACAGTAATTTAATCTAAGTCTACCTCTACTTCTTAAGTCCTCTGTTTCTGCTTTTAATATGTCTCTATCAACTAGTTCTTCATGCTTGAGAAAGTGTCCTATCAACCTATATCTCGCCTATTTGTTATTGTATCTTCTGTTTTCCTATTCTTTCTAATACCTCTTCATTTCTAACTTTCTCTATCTACAATACGCTCATCATGTAACATCACATTTCTAACGCTAACCTTCTGTTTTCAGCCGCGCCCACCGTCCATGTTTCGCACCTGTACAGCGCCGCGCTCCAATTTTTCCAATTTCTAAAATAACCGTTCACGAGCATAGAAGTGACTTCTCTTTCCAACCTGAATTATCTGACTTGCGAGATACCGAAAATTAGCCACTTTTTCTAATTTTTCGTCCCCTATCAACATATTCACTCATTCCCTACTGTTTCTTCCCTTGCATAACAATATTCTTGTGTGACTTTTAGTGCACCAATTAAACAACATGTTGTTTGAATCAATTTGATTATAATAAGTCTTAATGGTCATAAGTCCCAAAAATGACCAGTTTTTGATTTATAGCTTCAAACTAATGAAAAGGAGAAAATTATGGAATTTCACAATATAGATGTTTAGTATGATAAAAACTTTTCAACTACATTCCACCCTGTATATAAGGATTATTAAAGGACAGGCGCCTTGACATTTTTGTCCTTGGGACACGTTCGTGCTTAATAAGGAAAAGGAAAATGCAATTGCAGTTTCTGTAAATAAAAAATGAATATTGAGGAATTTACTAAGGACGATACTTTTAATAGGGCTTTAAATGGATTTTGAACAGGAAGTAATGAGTTTTACTTAATCAAAACTTAGGGAATATTTTAACAAAGAACCCTACAATTTAATGATGCAAACAAAGTATTATTATTACAATTTCCTTGTGAAAAAATCCACCTAGATTTTTGGTAACAAATAAAAATGAAGGTAAATTTGAAGTCAATAGTTGCTGTAAAGTATTTCTCGTTTAATAAAATGTTAGGTACTTGCTCTTTTTTTGTGGAATCTTAAGGGCAAAGGTCGTTGTGAGCTAAGGAAGGGTCGCCCACGTTTAAGAAACTGATTTCGAGTGGGTAAGATTTACTCGTTTTTTTTATAATCTCAAGGAAATTTCCTTCTTCATGACATTATATTCTTGTAATAAAACTAATTCGCTGTTTTCTAATTTTAGTACACTAAATTTAGACAACTCTCAAAAAGTAGTACGTTTTCATTAGGTTACTGGAATATAAATTGAAGTATTTGGGAATTATAAGGGCGTAGGTAGATACGTCAAAGAAAAAGTAAGAAATTGCCTCAAAACAAAACAAAATAATGGAAAAGTCCCACTCAAACGTATGTAACAGGTCAATTGAAAAGTCCCCGGCCTAAAATAGTAAAACACATTTTTTTTGCAAAATTCGTTTATTTTATTCAACATAATTCCCTTCAAGGGTGATACACTGATTATAGCGATCCTCCAACTTTTCGATACCATTTTTGTAGTACGATTTGTCCTTTGCTTCAAAATAGGTCTCAGTTTCAGCGATCACCTCTTCATTCGACGAAAATTTTTTCCCTAACGAGCATTCTTTTGAGATCTGAGAACAGGAAGTAGTCGCTGGGGGCCAGATCTGGAGAATACGGTGGATGCGGAAGCAATTCGAAGCCCAATTCATGAATTTTTGCCATCGTTTTCACTGACTTGTGAGACGGTGCATTGTCTTGGTGAAGCAGGACTTTCTTTTTCTGCAAATGCGGTCGTTTCTCGGCGATTTCGTCCTTCAAACGGTCCAATAACGCTATGTAATAGTCGCTGTTGATGGTCCTTCCTTTTTCAAGGTAGTCAATGAAAATTATTCGACGCGCATCCCAAAATACAGACGCCATAACCTTGCCAGCCGACTGTTGCGTTTTTGCACACTTTGCGGGTTCATCGTGTGCAGTCCACTCCGATGACTGTCGATTGGACTTCGGAGTGAAATGATGGAGCCATGTTTCATCCATTGTCACATATCGACGCAAAAACTCGGGTTTATTACGCGTGATCATCTTCAAACACTGCTCTGAATCATCAACTCGTCGTTGTTTTTGGTCAAAAGTGAGCTCGCGCGGCACCCACTTTGCACAGAGTTTTCTCATACCCAAATATTCGTGAACGATGTGATGTATACGTTCCGTTGATATCTGTAGAATGTCTGCTATTTCATTCAATTTCAATTTACGGTCATTCAAAATCATTTTGCGGATTTCTTTAATGTTTTCGTCCGTAACAGCCTCTTTTGGGCGTCCACTGCGTTCACCGTCTTCGGTGCTCATTTCACCACGTCTAAACTTAGCATACCAATCCTTGATGGCTGATTTTCCTGGGGCAGTGTCCGGAAATTCGTTATCAAGCCAAGTTTTTGCTTCAACTGTATTTTTTCCCTTCAAAAAGCAATATTTTATCAACACGCGAAATTCCTTTTTATCCATTTTTTTCACAATAGCATAAGTTGCTTCACTAAACATGCTATAATTCACAAACTAATGATCCGACAGCCGTCAAATTTATAGACGCGTCTTTTGAAGGTTAGGACTAACTGAAAATCATATGGATTTAGTTCTGGTGCCGCCGTCTATGTGTCAGGCCGGGGACTTTTCAATTGACCCTATATGATGTTCCAATTAACATCACTGTACTCATTTAGTAGGTTTCGAGTTTTTAGATATTAATTACAATGTACAAAAATTCAATTGTCTTTCAACCCGTACTATTTACATTAAATAGAAACTCAAAACGCACCCTAGGTCGCCACTGAAGGACTAAACGATTGCGTGCTCAAGGGCAGTAAAAGCACTAAACTGGGTCAAATTAAATCTCGCCAAATACACGTTTGTTTTGCGAGCGTCGGGACGCGTCGCGCTATTTCTGGTTCTTTATAGGCAAAAGCAATTCCTTTCATTCCCATCACCCTTTGATCCTTACGATAAACAGGGTTGCAAAAGGCGTATTAGGTTACAAGCGTCATTTTTACCCTAAACAGGGAGAATTACGAAAATTCTTGAAGTTATAAGTTAGATATATTAGTGACAAAATATAATTCCTTTCAGTGGCGTCCCTGATCAAATGAAATGGGTTTTCTACAACTGTTTAATCTCCTATTTTCTAAATGGGTTTTCGAAGGGGTATGCAGAGCTACCCCGTGTGGGTTAGTTCAGCCCTCGGTCATAAGCCCAAAGAATTTATCTGACACAAGACTGTCGGCAAAAGACAATTACAGATACTATAGATTCTCTATGTTGGTGTCTGATTACACCTCTACATACACCAACTTTATCTATAAATACTACACTTTTGCTGGGTGCATTACCATCCTTGGTCCGAAACCATGACACATCCATAATATGCATTAGGTATAATACATCAACATATGTAGATGTAGACGTATTCAATACTTAGGTATAATTGTACCTTGAAAGTCCTTACTGAAGAAGTAACTTTAAGGGATCATATTTCAAAAAGATTTTTACGACTTAGCGCCTATCGAGATTTTTGACTTACACGTCGAGAACTATCAGAATCCAAAGTTTCAAACACTTCGACGGAGGGGGCTGTTTTCTGTAAGGATCTAGAGGAGTCCTTTGACAGTTCTGTAGCTCGTACCGATAAGCTAGCAGACCCTGGATGAATTTATTTATTATTTAAGTTAACCATTACCATATCTTTTAATTTTTAAAATGATTTTCCCGTGTATGTTTTGACTAATCGTTCAAACTGTTTGGTTTACTTTTATGCATCTTTGAAACGCAGCGATTTGGATGTAAGTGATCGATCTTATCCGCCCAGTGCAGTTACAGTTGTGATTAAAGTAGCTTAGATTAATGGAAAAAGTTTTAATTGCTCCTCCGCTATAACTAACCAGCTTTAATGCTCAACGAGATTTTACACTGAAAACAAAATACATCATAAAACCACCGGCTACAGTATATGTACATGCAGCTTGCTGCACCCTCTTTTTTTTTGGTTTAAAATTACTATTAATCTACCACCAGTTGCTTAAAGGTTAAAGATTTCATAAAATTTCAATTCCATTTTGATTACTATTAAATTAAATTACCTATAGGTAGTAAGTGAATAAACTACATTGTATTGTAAACCTAATACCACAAGTTTTATTGCTACCCTCTAGACATTTCGTTAAACCGAATCTAAATTCTATTTAGAGATTATGTAAGCGAATGGAACCCTGAGTAGATACGATGACATTAAGGCAGATAATTATTCAAAAAAGTTTCATGCAATTTATGTGCAGAAATGTGAAGATTGCTTTGAGAAATTCCGAAGTCATTAACAAAAAAAAAATGTTCGCTCCCAATATCAGTTGTAATAATGTAGCAGTAATTTTTGTTCAATATTTGAGATAGATACATACCGACATCATATAACCGACTGTACTTACGTTTGAGTTTTATGATCATTATTTATGCCCTAATAAATCATTCGGGCAGTGAATAATGGATGTTTCCTTTTTGTTTCAGGGACCTACTTTATCCTCTACGATTTTATCGATTACTTTGAAAAGGACGGGCCGAGCTATTTGCAGCGAGACAAGTACCATGAAATAATCAATCAAATATTCAAGAACATGAGCAGACTTGAGAAGGATGCCATTGTTTTCCAGGTAAAACCCGAGGGATTTTTATAAAGGAAAATGCGTTTCAAAAATATCTAGTGTAAGAATTTGATTCTGCAAAATCTATTCCTTTACAGTTTCTTAATTAGGCGGTTAATTATACAGTTAGGTATTAACTGATAAGGATCATAATCATCAACCAACTTGATATTTGAGTAAGCTTTGATTTTTACTGCGAGATAAACTTTTATTAGTTGTATGGGCCATACCGTTTCAATCAAATCAATTATTATTACTTTAATATGTCATTAATCAATATTTGTATTCTAAGTCATACCTACACTGAGACGGATAATGTGCTGTACTATATTACATGTATTTTCTCCAATAAAAGTCCTTTTTCGTCCTTCTCGATCAATTTAACCTTAACATTCCCCCATCCCACCCCTGCTGCTGTCATCTTTGACATTTGTCATCGTCAGTCATCTTTTACAGCTTTGCCATTTGCTTCGGATAATGGCTGACGATGACAGCTGTCAAATATGGCCGACATGACCTTGAAAAGAAAATACATGAGATTGAGGCTGAAGTGTCACAGCTTAACTACTAACAAAATTTTCGAATGTAATTCTGTTTTAACCTCCTTGGTTACATTTTTAAACAGGTATATAGCCCATCACAAATAGGGGTAGAAGAAGAGGACGAAAGTGCCTTATTTTATATTCCGTCACGTGAATTGGAATAAAACAGCAAATTAGCTTCAAGGGTACTTCCGATTATTAAATTTCCCGCACATTTCATCTCTAAAGTGAAAAATATAAATTCTTCTTTCGAAATAATAAAGTTTTAGTCAGAAACTTTTTCCAAAATAATGGGAACCAATCAAGATATTTGATGCTCTTTTTTGTCTACTTCGTCCCTCGTTGCCACCCCTTTTGTAACAACCCACGTGTCCTCCCTTCAGGAATTCAATTATGTATACCGAGATCTTCATTTCTGTAAATTTTTGGGGCACAATTTCAATCACATAATCTAAAAAAACATAAGGGAACTCTCTGAACTTCTCCCTGTTCCCAGTCGGCTATCCACATGCTTAGAAAGTACCCCCCCCCCTCCACCATTATCCCAACATAAACATCGTGCTCAGCTAGGGAAATTAAAAATGGAAAAAATATTAATTAAAGTGGTGTTTACATATCAAAAACAAACATTTTGGGCAACTGGAAAACAGTTTACAATCGCCAGTATTTGTTCAGTGAAATAACGTCAACATCCTAGCTAGCAAGTGTGCTAATTAAAATGAATGTGCAGCTCGTAGTTCATAATTTATAAGACAAATCTAATTAAAATCATTTTTAATTTGAGTGAATGTACGTATGTTATTCAAAATTAAATTCTAGAAATGTTTGGTGGTAATTAATAGTACCTATTTTAATAGAATTATTCCTTAATTATTATTATTATAGCTTCCAATTTCATGATAAATTTATGGGATGTTTCAGGTGTGAGTTGGGGAAGCTAAAAAAATAGGATTCTTGAGGCATTTACCAGTATACATTTGTTATTATTTTTTATAAAATTAGGCCTGATTTAGCAGAGAAGAGTGTCATGCAAGAATCGATATCATTTCCATTTTTCAAGAGAAAAATTATTGACAGCGTAATAAGCTGTTTAGAATTACAATTATAAACCGATTATTATAAAAAGAATTTTGCAATGTATAATGCCTATACTTTATAACATTTGAAAAAGTATTAAATTGCAGATTTATAGTCAAATGTGATGTCCATTTTAAAAATTATACCACTGCTCGATGTTCATGCTGGACTTTTATTGTTTCAACCAACAAAAAACTGAAATAAATCATTGTTAAAAGCAGCTACTAAAAATATTACAAAATACTTCCATTTCTATTAGGTAGAATTTTTTATTTGATTTTAAAACGAAACAGTTTGCGTGACCCTATCATAACATTGTTTAATAAATATCGGAAAATTTCGAAAACTTCCGCCACAACGTATCGGGTTTATACGTTCCAGTTATTATTTAGTTAAAATTAATGGTGGGAATTAATTAAAAGCTTGGTNTGAATCGATTGGGTGGTTGGGAACAAAAACGACATTTTGTCTAAATATAATGCAAATTCTCTTAACCCGTAAATTAAATTTAGCGTTCAATTTTAGCACGTAGCCAAAACAGCTTTTAGCAAGCTAATTGTGTTATAAAGGGTTGGATATATATATATATATGTGTGTGTATAGCAGATTATGTTTATAAAGGGGTACGCAAACATCTTGTCATCATTTACGCTAATGATAATGTAAAATAATATCTTAGAGAAAAAAATTATACATAGATACACTTATGTACAATAATACATACACACATGGGGTAGTAATAAATAAATTTAACCACTAAAATTGATACACCAGGATTACAATGCTGCAAGCTGTTTATCCATTATTTCGTATCCTGAACTAAGCTTCGCATTTACCCACAACTAGAACATCCCACATCCTTAACTATTTGTGAACAGTAATCTGATTTAGGAAATACTTCTGCTACTTTTAACTCCTGTTTTTGCCTCTCATATATCTCTATCTATAGCCTATCTCACCTACTTTTTATTGACTTTCTTCTATTACCAACAAAAACAATTTAGTTTTCGGCAAGGTATGATTAGGTACTAACATTTAATAGGTAGATAAACCAAATCTAAACCTTTTACTGAATATTTCTTAAGAATATAATGTTGTCTTTATTCTGATGCGTAATTTCAAAATTGTTCTTTACTTGATCTGTAAGAGTTTGTAAAAATTTAGCAAAACAGTTTCCCTTCATTAGATCAGTGTAAATTTGACGTTGATAATAACAGTTGTCTGATGTAAAGAAAATGCACGTCTTGCAGGAAGCTGTTGTTGTCTGAATTTAACACTTGAAATGTGCAGAAAAATCGTGAAAACAACCTACAACGGCTGCAAAAGATGCAATTTCGTTGTTGTCGGTACGTCACGTCGCGTTTCACCGCATGGCCATCTAGTAGTTGTCACGTCTCTTTTCGCTACAATACAAAAGTTTTTCTTCATTTCAATTTCAGTACACGGATTGGGAGCACGTGAATGACGGATACATCAATCAGAAAATGATTGGAGACGTGGTTGGGGATTACTTTTTTATATGCCCTTCGAATCTCTTTGCCGAGTCCATGGCTGCCAGGGGGATGAAGGTTTATTACTACTTCTTCACACACGTAAGCTCATTTTTATGTATAACGTTATAAAAGAATTATTTTAACTCAGGCTATTGTGGATCCGTCAGACAGGCCTACACCACCTTGCGGCAAAGCTTGTAACTTGAACGAGGAGCAAATTTACATGAGAATACTGCACGTGGATCATAAAGTTGTTTATTAAAATCATAAAAAGCTTTAACTAAATGAAATTTTTTTGCGTTCAAAACTGGATAATAAAATGGTGTTTTTCTTGATCAAAATTAACTATATTTGAAAAATTAGACAAGAAATGTTAACTAGAAGCTTGCGTCACAGTAATAAGAGACAATCAGATATTGTGATTTACATAATTTTGAAAATCCACCGTTGCATGTTACGTTATGGGGACTATGAAATATAGTACCTAATCTGCGCCATGTTTTTTAGGCTCCGCCTATTCTATAGATCGCAATATGTCTCCTTGTTTCGGACACAGGAGGACTAAAGAAGCTTTAGTGTACTTTTTTTTAAATCTATGATAATAGTTCACTTGGCATTTGATCTTCTGGTAGGTACTGAATGTGTTAATTGGTTGACATCGTAGAAAATTTAATTCTTCCGATAGAAAATAATATCGAGTCCTTTTATTATGAAAAATGTACGCGTATATAGATTATTAAATTAGTTTATTGGATAAAAAGTTATAAAATAATGGGATATCTTTTTGTCTTTCCTTTCCGCCGAATTTGACTTCGAAATATGGCCAAACGCCAACATTGAATGACAAACTGTGACCACGCCAGTTATGCGTCAAATTAGTTGACGGAAACACGATATGTCGCAAAAGAGAAAATTAATCATTCAAATAAGGACAACAGATCAGTCCGTATAGTTTTCTGTGCATAAATATTTTCGCTCCGAAAATTGCTTTTGTATTGCAGTTGCATGAATGACAAGTAAACAAGCTTTTCATTAATTCAATAACGTTGAAGTTGAAATAGCCATTAGCTTAGTCAACATAATTTTGAAATTACTGCAATGCAATCTACTATATATGTATGTGTGTATGTATTTATGTATGTATGTATGTATGTGTGTATGTATGTATGTAAACGAATGTTTGTGTGCACGTTTCTTTGTTAGTCTCCTATACGTTTTTAAACCATTCATGCGATTGCGACGAAACTGGTGACTTATAACGCTATAAAAAAAAAATGACTGAAACCAAACCGAGGTTTACCTCTGTTGTGAAAACAAAATAATCTATTTCTTTTGCATCACAAAACCAAAAATTGCACCATTACAGAGAATGCTATGCCTATGAACATAAAAGTCAAGATTTAGTCCCTTCAAGTCTTGAAATTGGACCTGAATTCAGGAATGCATCAGTGCATCAGTATTATTCGATATTAAGGTGCGTTTACACCTGAACACGAACACGTTCGAAGCACGACGAACCGGTCGAAGACATGCCTCATCGAGAATTGTGAACGAATCCGGCCGAAGCAACGAACGCGTTATTATTTCATTGCACTCCGAACGTATGCGTTTCACATCGCGTTGTCTCGAACGTGTTCGTGATCTGGTGTATGCACGCCTTTATGCGAATATGTCCAGATGTATGTACAGTCATGTTAATTGAATACGGAAGTGAGAAAAACTGCTACAACGTTTAATATAACCAACATGAAAGGTTGTTATAGGTACTACTTTTAATGTGCAGGGATATAAAAATTAAACAGGTTCCTGACAAACGGCATGTTCCCCATAAACCCGATCGGAATCATTTGCAACTAAGTATGACAAGGATTTCTTAATGCTAAGCTACTACCGCTTTTGGGGAAATCATTTATACCTAATGGTAGAATAAGTTTGTACAAAATTTCACCTAGTGGAATCAGACCGAGTTATACCAAACATAAAGGGGCCAAAATCCCGTTCCGCAGGAATCAAGTCGGATATCTTTGTTATATAAATATGGCACGTGTGTGCATATGTGTGTGTGTGTTAGATTTCTCAGACATTTCTCTTCGCAAATGGCATTTGCAGGATTAACTTCACATCAGGCTCGGTCGTGTCGCTACATGGTATACGTACGCTGTTAACCCCCGACGAAAACAATACGGCTTTATAAATTAAATGACTGAGGAAAGTCTCGTTCTCTTTCCGTTATTATGTCGGCGGAAAATGGTTTCTTGCGCCATTTGGGAAGACCTTAATGGCTGTATTGCGTGAACGCTCTTTGAATACGTATATATATACACTCTCTCTCTAGCACAATGAGATACGTTAGTTACGTTTCACTTTCAGCCCGTACGACAGTTTAAGTTCGCTGTGTCTTCTGAATTATGAATAACACGCTTTATAAATGTACGTACACGTAGGAGCATCAGTGACTACAAAAATGTTTCTCTATTCTCTAAGTAAATGTGTGGCATACTTCGTTTACTTTCTGTAGCGATGTGACCTTCAGTTTGACCGGCGCAAAGTAGAAAAGAACAGCACTAGGCCGGAAATGGAAGGAGACAACTCTCAGCCAAATTCTTAACCGGTGAGGAGCGTATAATCTGTACAGTACTGCACGGAAAAATTGACCATTTTATCAACTACAATTGCATTGCTCAAATGTGCTGTTATTGGTACCATTTACTACTGAAAATATCAACGAGATGTTTATTTATATTTGAAGACATATTAAAGGCTTTAACGCTTGTTTTCGACTCGCACTACTATTCATGATTGAACAAACTTTTGGCAGGTACTGTATGAAAAAGTATGTTTAATTAACAAGAGTCGAGAGTATGAGCTTTTTTCCCTACCTACGATTTCGCCAGCGCGCATCCGAGACATTGGAAGGGGCACATCGCTAGAGAAAGTAAACGTAATGTATACTAGTCGATTTCAAGAGGGATGTTTCCAAAGTTCTAGGAATTTACCTATAATTTTTATTATTTTATTCATTTTCGTCAATATTGCAATGTAGTTTTTTAACATAATCTCCATTTAACTGAATACATTTTTATCCCAACGATAAACTAATTTTTTTAAGCCGTCCTCAAAAACCTTTTATTTTAGGAACAAATAATTACAGATTATTTATTGATTCGATTTCATTCAGTTTCAATTAAATACTTTGTTTAAAAATATATTCGCAATGGCAAGTTCTTTCAGGAGTCCCGCTGGCACTTTTCCAAATATAGCAACGATCTTTGCAATACGCAAATATTTCAGGCAACCTAATTACTTTAAGCGATTTGCTGCAGGTGAATTTACCCGGAAGTAGGTCGCTACCCATTTCTTAGATGGAAAAGACGTTGCTGTACCTTTTTTTATTAAGGCTTCTTAATTAATTAGAGATTCAGGCAACATTATTTTTAAGATTGTTTTTAAATTTTGCATCCATTATAAAGTTAATATAAAAATAGAAGGCAATTTTCGATATCTATGCTGTCAGATAATTCCATTTATGTTGGTTCCCTTTTGAGCTTTAATTCCAAAAAATTTATAGTACATTAACCGACTGCTCCATATACGTTTCTGAATGTATACTTCAATTTCTTCAATTTATTATCTAGACTAGAGCGGTTGCTGTCAGAACGCCTACTTTTACTCACGACGGACGTTGCAAGATTAGATTGTAATAATAGAAGAGAGATGCCAGGTAGAAATTGCAGCGGATACTAATAAAGAAGAAGGAATAACATTACACCAATTGGTGAGCAACAAAAAGAGACAAGCAGAATTTGAACACGTTGCCAGCATCTGTACTATTATTATCCGGTTATCTCTTTTCACTTTATCTATATTACTCTTGAAGTATTTCTTCAGTTAACAAGGGCGTGTTTAAAACGCTGCAAATGACTACAACCCCAAGTGGAAACAAGAAAGAAGACACGTCTATTCTCAGAGATAATTTATTGTCTACTTTGCCAATTCTGATCGTCCCAACTATTGGTACTTCTGTTTTATTCATCTTTGTTTTTCATTCGTAATGGAGGATTTTGACGCTTACTTTTCCGTTGCACTAAGAAAAATGATACATGTTATAAGCGATTGCTTCGGGCTGACAGTGGCCCAGGATAATAATATATTCAGACGTATTTTCCCTCTTGATGGCACTTGTTTTTAACTTTTTATGGGCGAAGTTGTTTGTATGTTGTCGCATAAGAAAGGGAGCAACGATGCCGGGGAAAATTATTGAACTTGGGCGTACGAAAACACTCGAAAAATCTTATTTTCAACGGTACGACACGATGGAGTTTACGTTGAAAATGAAAAATGAATGCCCAAGTTTTTCGTTAGAAACTTTCGAATCGTTTTGCCCTTTTCAAATGATGTATCTTGCAAAGTTTCTTGAGACGTTCGATGTTCACATGAACTTTTCATTTATCGTAATAAAAGCGTACTTACGGCTAGACAGTTTATCTGAATAAGTGGGGCTTCAGTGTTGACTTTTACCTCCACAAAGGCAGCTTTAGTGCAAAGAGTAAATGTTCAAGGTGTTTAATCATTTCTAATTAAATGTGACTACTACTACGTTATTTATCTTTTAAACAGGTAGCAAATAATTTGTTAAAGGCTTACATTAAATTGATAAGAAACCAAAAGTTCTGTTACAATGAACATGAGAGCCAATGACGAATGCGCGAGTTACAGGACAACGCGTTCCATTCAACTGCGAGCGCTCTTGAGTGCATTGCGAGTCAGCGGCGAGCGCTCAAGACTGGACAACGCGCTCGATTCGATTGCGAGCGCGCTTGAGTTCATTGCGAGTCAGCGGCGATCGCTCGAGTCGACTGTGAGTAACTGGACAACGCGCTCGGTTCGATTGCGGGCGCGCTTGAGTTCATTGCGAGCCAGCGGCGAGCGCGCTCAAGTCGAATGCGAATGAGTGGCCAACGCGCTCGGTTCGATTGCGAGCGCACTTGAGTCCATTGCGAGTCAGCGGCGAACGCGCTCGAATTACCGGAGAATACTTATTCCAAACATACAAAATGAGTTAGTGGCACATTACAAAAATTCGTCCTGTCTTACTAACGGTATACATAACAATCAGTTAACAGAGTGAACGTAAATTTCAATAATAGCGAAACGTTTAATTGCAAACGGTCCATTTTGGTTTTCGTGCTCGGTTTTAGCTCTCGTCAAGTGGGAACAATTATTATTTCATTCAGTTTAGGTGGTTTCGCGAAATCAGGAATAGCTCGGGTATTCGGCACAAAAGCTCCAAATTGCATTTGTCAAGAGCGCAGGTTGTGCATCAACCCCCGGTGCATTTCAACAAGAAATTTATACCTCGACACAGGTACGTTTATAAATTACGTGTACTCCATTACATGTCCGCTGTTCCAATTACGGGGCACAGATTTCAGAGAACAATGCACGCATGCACTCCGACAACCAGTTGAAAGGTTGGCTATACTGTGTCGAAATGGGTGCAATAATAAATGAATCGCTAACTAATTTCCTTGTATAGAACGCGGACCTTTTGTTCTCGTATTGTTAATTTTGTCATTGTTTAGAACCAAATGCTCATCAGAATTTCAAAATATGCTTAAAGACATGCACATGACTGTATATACAGTGCATTTCATTTAATACGACCTTGGTTATAGCGACCATTGTGCTATAGCGACGTCATATGTAAGTCCCTTGAGTTTAAAGCATACTTTAGTATAAAATGCATGTGGCTATAGCGACTTCGGATGTAACGCCGAGTTCGGGTGTAGCGACTGCTTTTAATGAATCATTTGTAACAAATCCCTAGTAATCTCATGCGGATATAACGTCCGGAGTCGGCCGCTAAAGACGCAAAGAGCTTTCTTATCTTTTGTTTACATTCACACAAATAGTTAACAAGTGTGGGTGACCTTTACCGCTGTTTCTGAGTAGCAACTGTGTTTAGTAAATTTTTGAATAAGTGACTTCTAAATGTACATTTACTGAAAGGCGAACATTGTTTCAAAATTAAAAAACAGTGTGTGTCTGTATCTTCTTTAACTTCGCCTGTAACGACTTCTGGATATAACGGCGAAATTACAGTGGTCCCTTCGTTGTCGCTATACCCGAAATCCACTGTATATTAGAGATGTGCAAAATGGTTTTTTAAAAGTATTTAAATACAAAATGCAAATCTTTTTTGATTTCTTATTTCAATAGCATCATTCTTTAATATTTATGAGTTAAATAATTGGAAGCAATAAGGACATTTTTTATTAACTTTTTTCACCCGTACAATCACGAACAATTTTGCTGATATTTAGTTGTAATGAAGATATATGTTTTCCTTGCAATTAGTCACCTGGCGTCTTTGAACTATTACCTACAATATCATCTAAGGACCTTTTAAGCATCCAGGATCTGTCGCTCTAAATTACACCTAATTCATTCTAACTGTCACTTTCCTCTCTACCTTCATTAAGGCTAATTCTCTTCGTAAACGTTCGAACCACTTAGAACATGGTTTCTTACTGAATTCCGTTTTCTTCAAAAAATTTTTCTTTGTTAATAAATAATTAATCTAAATGTATCTCATAAACCTCATATCTATTACTTCTTTGTAATTTTTTACTGATAGTTTGAGAAAAATTACGTTCGGCAGTTAATAATTGTTAGGTTAAAAACAGGAGAATTCCTTGCTGCATATTCTACCAACAAAAACACTGAAATGCTTGGTGATACAAAAGAATTTATTATCTCAATGAAGCGCAGTATTGGTATAGGTAAATGAAAAATTGTAAACCTTTAATTTTCTGGAAAGTCTCGTATCTAGCATTGCCTCTTAATAAAAATTCAGTGTGATTTCCAAAGATATCGTAAAGAAGTTATACCTACCTACCTATATGGAGTTTAGCTTTCCCGCAATAAAATTTTTAATGACAGCAAGGTATAAGCATTCACCGAGCAATAACGTGGCATTCAATATCTCATTTTGAATGCTAGCGATACGTTCACGTTTATTTTCCAAATAATAAGAAATATTACGAGCATTTCAGGCTAAATTGAACTCATCACAAACCGTATAAACGATCAGCTAACGGGAAATACAAATAAATTGGAATAATTTGAATTTCAAATATAGATAACGATCTCATAATGCAGTATCATATGTAGTTACGTTTATTTAAAAAAAGCAGACTGTGTTCAATATTTTAAAGGAAAAACGTGTCGTTTGAAAGCATCCCTCTTTTCTAATAAAAGTCGCAAATCTACCACCGTATTCAGTCAAATAAGTTAGGAATCCATAAAGCATTAAATCAAACAAAATCATTTACCATTTCTACAAAATTCTACTGTTAATGCCAAGTTGCATACTGACTTGACTAAAGTATGCATGAACAGTTCGCCTTTTTGGTCTATTTCTTGTAAATATCAAAAACGAAGAAAGATAAGTTACCCTTACCAAGTCTATAACACCAAGTTCATATAGTTTTAAGAATTCTTTTCAAATATAAATTAAAACCTTAAAGCAAATATATATACAATCTAAACATTCAACTTGGTTTCTCAATTCCCTTGATCGATGGCCGTTAAACTCAAATCAGTTTGCATTCTGTCAGCAATTATAATTATTGCAGATACTTTCGATAATTGAAAGATATAGATCGTAACTTTTGAGAACCTAGTGGTTTCAGACTCTCTTTGAATGATCCAAAAGCGCAAATACATATACGTATAAAATGAAGCTTACCTATACGTTTGAGAAATCAAAACTATACGTCTGCTTCCTGCTCCTTCTTAAAAGGGAACTTCGGTTTCGAGTTCGTTTACATTACTCGGTTCGGTGTGATGAATTGGCAAAGATAAATCTCCGGCAGATCGGAACTTCCTGAAAACAAAAAGAGCAACCATGATTTATACGGATGGAAACCAAAGTTGCAATATTTTAGAGAACATTGGTAATGTTTTCTGAAGGAACTATAAGATTAAAAAAAGTAAATGTATCACTACTGAAGATATACTACCTAAATAAAAGTTATACAAGCATATTTCATTTCTATATTTTTCCTATACACTATTTAAGAAATAAAAGCTACTTGAGAGTAATTTTATTGTTGCAAATAACATAAGATACACACACACACGTCTAATGTAAATAAGAATAACAATTTTGTTAATAAAACATCTATCTATCTACATTCTCTGCTTTAGTTGCATTTCCGTGTACAGGGTGCATAAAATCGTACAAAAAGTAAACAACCCTTTTAAAGACAAGCAGAAAAGCAAACAAAAAGTTTCCTTTTTATTTTAGCTGCTGCGACGCCTTTTTCAAGAAGTGTAGCAATTGCAATTTAGTTTGAAACAGAAAGTAGGTATTTACGTTTAAAAATCTCTTTGCTTAAGTTTCAAGCAGGCAACGGTAATGGGGTTATTAAAGCCTCATTACTACCAACTAGTTTTGAAACTTTGAAGCTTCACAAATTTGTTAATCGTTCGCTAATTTTGAAAGAAGTCTTTCTTGTTATATTTTAGTATATTTTACTTTATTTAATGATGTTATTATTAAGGAAACACATCAAGGTTCCATATTGTGCAGATGTATTAGGTATCCAAAGATCTAAAGATCCTTACAATCTTTAGGGTTCTGAAATTTACGACATGAAGATAAGTTCTTATGAGACATTTGTACATGCTTATTAAGTACCTATAACTACTGATTATCCCGATACTTGTATTACTTATATACTTATTTCATTAAGGCAATCCTGAAATTGTTGGAAAAAGAAAGGTATTTAGTAAGTTTTGAGAAGTGATAATTATGTAAAAAAATACGCAGAATCTCGTGGTGTCAAAGGTATTCGACTGCCTGTTGCCTTCCGGCATTATTTTTGCTGAAGTATATAAAATAATTTAAACATAAAAAGCAATTGAAGCATAACATTTCACACATGCCAATAAGGGAGGTCTGTGTCATTGGCTAGGGTGCATAGCACTTCACACATGTGAATCAGGATTCCTATATACGGTAATCTAATTCAGCCAGATAATTTTGCGAAGAAAGTATTGAAAGACTTGTTGCAAAATTGCCCTTACGCTCCATCCCTAGTTGAATTGACGCGCTCGTGAGTGGCTCATTTTGCAACAAGGTTAAGGACTCAATATGCGCTGCAACGTTTCCGACCCTTACATCACTCTGTCGGCAAACTGACTCTAAGAGTGTATTCCTTTTTAGATTAACGTAACCTTGTAAAGTCAAACTTGCTTGTGTATGTGTGTGTGTGTGTGTCTGTCGGTCTGTCTGTCTGGTGTGCGCTTACAGCAAGCTGAAAAGTCTTCTTCTTTGTGTTTCAGAGAACGAGCACGTCCCTATGGGGTGAGTGGATGGGCGTCATGCACGGGGACGAGATCGAGTACGTGTTCGGCCACCCTCTCAACATGTCCCTGCAATTCAACTCGAGAGAGCGTGAACTCAGCCTCAAGATGATGCAAGCATTTTCGCGCTTCGCTGCACTAGGGTAAGTACGAATCTTTTTAAGAAAACTAATTTATATGGTACTAGCGACCCGCCCCAGCTTCGCAAGGGTGCAATGCTGATACTTAATATACTACTGAATGTCTTTAAATACAACATGTACAGCTTTTTTGTCATTAGATAATATAAACCGCCCCTCCTGGCCGGTACCGCCGCAACAGCATGCCCCTGCATTTTAAATCTGTAATATCTTCGAAAATATTCATTTAAATTACATGCTGTAAAGGGCCATATTGATCTATATTAAATGCACAATGTATTTAAGGTACTTAATTGGATAAGAATTAATGCTGTATTGCCTACAATCGCTTCGTAAATAAGTCATTATTTCTCATAAAAAGTAAAGGATAAAAATGGTTATTGTGGGTTATCCCTAAGAGATACATATATACCATCGCGAACTTTTTGTAGACCTTTTTAAGATGTACAATACTGTGGCACATTATTTTGATCTATCTCGTAGGGTTCAGCCAGCGTTTGCAATGTAAGCGCAAAAAAATGTGTTTATTTACGACATCACATTAGAAACTTCTAAAATAATCAGTGTTTCTCTACTATTTTATGCATGTATTATACATATAAACCTTCCTCTTGAATCACTCTATCTACTAAAAGAACCGCATTAAAATCCATTGCGTAGTTTTAAAGATCTAAGCATACATAGGGACAGACAGCGGGAAGCGACTTTGTTTTATACTATACTATATAGTGATAAGGTTTACACAAAATAAACTTGAGATAACGCTAACTTATTAAAAGCTGTACAACAACGATGTTAAAATCTGCACAATTATTCTATTTATAACAAGTCGGTATTACATCCTTGAACTGAATTGGTAAAGCAAAATCCATTACAAATTATTTACTTAAGTACCCGTGCAGGTTAGGATGGTAAACAGTAGGGGATGATTAACAAGGAAACACCTCAAAGTTCATTTAGATCTTTTATTTGAGGAATTATTTAATGAGATTTCTACTCATAATTTATGAGCACCAGTTTATTGAGTACATACTACAGAGTACAAGCATTTGATTTCATATTTATAGAAGTTTATTTATCTAATACTTGACCCTATTTCCTGGTCGAACTAGAGGCTTGAGTTAACGCCGAGCTCAATCATTTTATGATAGGAATTGAAGCACCTGAGAGTAACTAATTAAGCAAAGCATAGAACATTACAATTTTCGCACAATAAACACGTAGTTACCTACCTATATTTCAGTGACGCTTTTAAGTTTTCTTGTGAAAGCTCAAAATAAACAAATATGTCTACTTTTAAAAATAGTTAGTTGCAGACTAGAGCTTAGACATTTTACGAGTCTGCTAGCAAGGGGACACGTTTTTTGAAAGTAAGGACTTAGTAATGCGAGTAAATTGTTGCACACAAAAATTTGGGCCGGTAGGTGGAGAGAGACGAACTCCAAGGAAATAAAACAGACACACAATCATATTTTTATACATTTCAAATTGTATTTCACCACATTTTTAAAACAAAATATAGTATACTCGTTTGAGTAACTATTTTGGATACGTAATTTTGAATTCCAAAAGTAAGTAGTCTTTTAGTTTCGTAGACGATATAATAACAGATAGTTCTTTGTTTTAATAATGTCGAACAAAGGGGAATTCTCCGTTGAATCAACTCTACGTGATTTTAAGAAGGGCTAGAGATAGAGAATATTTCTCTGGGGACTTGAAGCATTTCCTTGGTAAAATTAAAAGAAAAAATTACAAAGGCCTTGTTAATTAGATTCATGATAAGAGCAAAAATGTGTACTTCTTCTCTGCTCCGATTTCAAACGAACTTTCAGCAAAGAGTTGAGCAGAAAAACTTATCTTTAATTATGTCGATCTAAACGAATTTCTTTTGAAATATCAAGTATTTCTAGAGGTTTATGTTTGGAACATATGTACGTATCTAACATCAACGAAAATTGCCCGTAAGGATAATAAAACATCGAATAATTAACAACACTGGAGTACCATTTGCTACTTATTGCTTTGTATCACTTTAGGATTAGTTCAAATAAATCTTGGAGAATGTTTTGTGTAGCTTTCAGTTCTATAAACACATATTGTGCATTATGTACATACGTTATGTGACAAATATTCAGTCAACATCATAATACAGGTGTTTTATTCGTGTTTCTGCAGTTAAATGTCTCAAAATTGAAATTTATGAACTTCCTACCCATTTATTCCCCTTAGGGATAGTTAGATTATATTTAAGTGCCCGAGATAAAAATGTTCAGTCTCTCAGAGTCTCTGAAAGCGAGACTCGAGTCTCCGTCTCCCATCGAGTCTCTCTGGTGTCGCTGAGAGAGACTGTTGAGAGACTGTCAAAAAAACTGTTTAGCGTCTCTGGACGAGAGACTCGAGTCGCTCATAGAGAGATCCTCATTTCGTATCCAGTCTCTGAACGTGAGCCTCAAATCTCTCAATAAGTGGTGTCTCGATAGACATGGTTAAAATTTTATAAGTTCAACATATTTCAGAGATCCCAGTATTTCTACGAGAGACTCGAGTCTCCCAATTTTTTAGTTATATTCATTCAGAATCTCTGAATTAACAACTTTATCGTTTGAGTCTCTTATACAGAGACTATGAGAGATCCATAAAAACACCTAGGCAATAACTGAGAGACTGTGAGAGACGCTCTCAGATGCGCTGAAAGACTCTGAGAGACTGGAGAGAGACTGAATATTTTTGTCTAGGGTGCCGATAAAAAAAAAAAACGAAACTGAAGAAGGAATTGTTTATCACTTACGAATTGATACACCAACTAGTTTGACTCAACAACAAGAGACAAAAGTTTCATCTATTGAATCCAATTTGTTGAAATTGGTTCAGCGTATTTTGGTTCCTTCAGTTACAGACCAATTTGATTTGTTACACCTGACACAGTTGTAATTATGATTATTTAAACATACATATTACTTTCACTTCCTTGTTAATTATACATTTCACTTCAAGAGGTCAACCGATGAATTGACAAAAACTGTAGTCGTATAATAATATACATAATATTACTTCTTTGGCATAATATCTGATGGTATTTATTTATATTTGGATTGCCAACAACAAGGGACATTTACTTTTGTAAAAGTAACAGGGTAAAGTTCATATATCATTTAATTCACAATCTCTTGTTATTATTAATTGACCACTCTGTATCTGTACAGTTGTCGCAAAGGTATACTTAACAGTACCATTGTCGACAAGAGGTTTAGAGTACGGAAGTGAACATTAATAAGTTAATAGAGAACTGACCCGAAGGGAATCCAGTTTAAGACCGGGTCAGTGTGATTAAAGGCTGTTGCATAAACTTTGTCATAGCGGCTGCGTTATGTACCAAAGGGTAAACTTTGGGGGTACAAATACGCTTAGACCTTTGATCACTGCATAGATAATAAAGTTTAATATAATTACAAGTCTTAACTAGACAATAAGGGTGCACTTTTTGATGCCAAGAAGAAATATGCTGTCCCAAATGCTTTCAGAAGATTGATAAGCTACTTTAATTCTTAATTTATAAATAATTATGCGACATAGACGCTGGTGGAATTTAAATAAATGTCATATTTTTCTTTTTGGTTTTAGGAAGCCCGTTACGGATGATGTTAATTGGCCCCTTTACACTAAGGAACAACCGCAGTACTTCATATTTAATGCTGATAAAAACGGAATTGGAAAAGGACCTCGTGCTACCGCCTGCGCTTTCTGGAACAACTTCCTTCCCAAGCTCCGGGAAAATCTAGGTAAGGAAGGAAAAGAGTTCCTCCTTAAAATTTGCATTTCTAAAAGTTTCTCGTCGAGTTTTATTAGGTACAATATTTACGATTACCAAACCGAACTTAACTATTTTTGTATTTTGTGGTAATACTTTGCCAATCGAACGCTACCGAGTGCTGGTTATTATTAATCATTACGTACTTGACTTGTCTACGTATCAGCCGTTGCGAAGGTCACGAATAGGTATGCGTGCTTCGTCAGTTAACGCTTGCGGTTGTTGTTCTATCACTCTACAGTGTCTCCAGATGTCACCATTATAATATTCTGGAAATTTTAAATGTTTATTTTACTGTATTTGTCAATAAAATATCCTTGAATTCTCATTAGGTTTCGACGCACATTTTGTTACCTTTCCTTGATTATCTCACTGAGAACAAAGACAATATATTTCACTCGCTACGCCTTACGTACATTTTGTATATTTATATTAGAAGTCCGTTTGGGTCTAGTGTCAGAGATAACAAGGAAGAGTAGAAAAAGCTTTTAACGCTTCAAAGATAATTCTTTGTTCCTTTTTCCGGGTTGGGAAATTCAAAACGAAATTATGTATTTTCAAGCGAATTTTCGTTCCTTTGATATATAGATGTGATACGTTACTTAGTATTCATGGCGTCATTCGTGTATTATGCAATGTACAGATAAACAGTTTTGTCACGTAGAAAGCGATGATGCTATTCTCAAGTTAGGGTTGTACACTGTAATGTTATTAATTTGAACCAGGATTATATCTCTGCCTATTTCTTAATCCGGCATTAACATAAAGAGGACCTTTGACGCCGCAAGAATATATTAAAAGAAAATTCTTTGCCGATAATATTATCTACATTTTGTGTACCTACAAGATAGTGCACATTTCGAAACGTAATAGCAGCCGCAGTAACTGGTTTCGAAGTTCTTACTTTAAATTAGCAGATATTTTCTAATCCACTGGGATTGGAAGCTACATGTTTCGATTCGCTCTGGGTATTCAATGCAAACTTCAATTCCCATTTTGAGTTTTCCTCTTTTTTTCCAGAAAAGTACGAACATTTCTCCTGATACACACATAAGTAATCTGTTTCTAAAAACCTATTATTATTCCTACATAATATGTAACTACAGGGAGAAAATTGTAATTCAACTGCATCTAGGCACTTAACCACCTACTTACATTATTTCAAAAGGCGTCTTTTTATTCTAATATTTTGCTGTTCCTAATTTATACTCACTTTCGGCTCAGTGGGCGCTCGCCTATGTCATGCCGTGCCACCTGTCGTTGCGTGGCGATCTATGCCTTATCGTTCTAATTAATTTACTTAAGTATATATTATCATTAAATGTTATTAATTATTTATTAAACAGAGGGTGTCCTTTAAGTTCATCTACATAATGTGTAACTTCTCAAAGCCCTATCCTTTAGAGTCATTATTTGCTGCTTCCCAATTTATACTCGCTTGTGGCTCAGTGGCCGCTCGCATATGACATGCCGTCAGGCTGTTGCCGTATCGTTCTGATTAATTTAATTAAGTAGGTATTATTAATTAATTATTAGAATTGTACATTCGTTTCAGTTATTCTACATAATATTCCCCTTAGGGAAAAATGTTGTAGTTCTGCGTCTAGGTACTTAACTACCTGCACTATTTTCCTCCTCGCTAGTTTGTACTCGGTTTTGACTCAGTGTCCGCTCGAGTATGACATGCCCTGGCATGTTGCTACGCACCGATTTTGCATCATAATTCTAATTAATTCACTTTATTAAGTGTTATTCATTAATTACTAAACTGGAGATGCACATTCTTTTCAGTTATTCTACATAATATATAGCCCCCTAGGGAAAAATATTGTAGTTCAGGATCTAGATCCTTAACTACCTGCACTATTTCAAAGCGCTATCCTTTACAGCGGTATCTGCTCCTCGCTTATTTGTACTCGGTTTTGACTCACTGATCGTTCGCGTATGACATGCCGTTCCGCCTGTCACTTGGTAGCGATCTTTGCCGTACCATCCTAGTTAGTTTACTTAAATAGGTATTGTTATTTAATTGCCAAACTGAGGGTGCATTTTCTTTTCAGATCTTCGAGAAGCACCATGCGAGGCGGGTGTTGTCGGTGCGGTGTCCTCTTCAGCCGAAGACATTACAAGTTTCGCCATCCTGTTATCACTCTCGTTCCTGTCGCAACTATTGCTACTGGATCGACGCTGGATATAAATCTAAGGGAAGAAACAACGTAGGCCGTGGCAGTATGTAGTTTCCGTAGTTTATCAGGAAAGCTGTAGGTTTGTCAATTTTGTTACAATATGTATAGTAAGTAAAAAGAAAATAACGCAAACGAAGGAACGGGAAGGAACGTTGAGGAAAATCGATCACGCTTGTTAAGTAAACCTAATAACACAACGTTAGTCCAGTCCCGGTTGGCATGTCGTGGTGTAAGCGATAGATGACAAGAGGTTGAATGACAACAACTGGGCCATCGGAGCCAGGTAGTACTACTGTAGAATTTTACATCAGTCACTGTTATTAGTTGTTCCTAGTTCGTGTCTTCTTGCAGACACGAAACAGTCTGTGGTCCCTCCCGCTTATTTTATACGTACATATCATATGATAGGGACCGGTGTAATTTTATCGATTCGTGTGCGTGAAAACGTTGTTGCTCTTTGATGGAGTCTCATATTTTCCTTTATCCGCCGATGATCGGTCTCGGGGTTGAAATTGATGGCGCTAGCTTTAGCGACTGCTTAGATTTTTCCAACTTCGATTCAATTTAAGTATTATCATCATTCTTGTCTCGTTTGACGTGCCAAACTGTAATTCTATTCAAATTTATTGGACCAGTTCTAAATAAATGATAAAATTGGTTTGATTCCGTCTTCAAAAATTCGGTAAGGGATTCTAAGCAGTCGCAGTCAGTAGATTTTATAAAACTGCCGATAATCTCTACTCGTTGTAATTGTCTTCTAAAGACCATGTACAGAGTGTTCTCCTTGTGCACTCCTACACAGTCTGCGACAATCACTTTACAATTTAATAATAAAGAAAAAAAATGATTCTTATGTTAGATGTAGGCTTACAGGCATGTACAACGAGCATGGGTATCGTCGTGTCAGAAAGATAAGAAGTCGAAAAACAGTCATTTACTTATAGGATATATCAAACATAAAATTAAAAGATAAACAATTAAACGATTTCTAAATATACAGGGCCGTGTTCGAATGTTACTCCACTAGGAAAAATTTAGGAAAATTTAGTATCCTTGAAAGAATGAATTTAAACGCTATTTTGCGATTATATTTGAGAGTAAATGTGGTTACAATATATGAGAACAGTTGGCTGTGAATGTTGATAGCTACTTTTCTAAACATATACATCAATGTATTTTCTTCTAGAATTTTTATGTGCGAAAATTTAAATACCTTTTAATCAAACGTAGGAATAATGAACACGCTTTTTAAGGTCCTGTAGCAAATTTCCTAAATTTCCAATTTGATAATTCATTTCACTTTTCAAACGGCATAGTATGGGTCACACTAACTAAAACTTATTATTAGAAAAACGCACATTAAATCCTATATTGTCCTTTGGCAAAGATTTGTAACGGTATACTGACTTCCAGAGCGTCATTGGTTATCCTATTCGTTCTAATACCTTCTCAGTTTCCAACCTCTTGTACTCACAATATTTTCAACATCCACTTATAAGTCCGTACTTATCTCAAACGCCTTTCTATTCCGCTCACTGTTCGCACCCATACAAAGCCGCGATTTACTTTAAAAAAATTATTTAAAGCCGCCCTGTATATTTGGAAAACGTAAATTAACTGATACGCCCTTTATTGAACGCTTTGAACAATTTTGATGTAACTTATGAGGGGATGAACTGCAAACTTCTAGCTTGAGCCCAGTTTTATAATTTTTTTAACGTATTTCATTAGCTATAACACGTTTGTAACACAGAATAGCGAAATCAATGTGGAATAGGTGATATTAACAATGTATTAGATCAATTACAATTATTGAAATAATTATTAAATTAGGGGTCGTCAAGTGTAACTGCTTGCGTTATTATACATGCATACATATATATATACACATACATAATATTTGTAATATTCAAACTTTGTATAAGTGCTCTAGATGAAATTTACACTATGTTTTGTGTTCTTGAAAGTCTATCGATGATTGGTTGATGCGTGTATTATTGTTTTCTTGTTATAAAGGGGGTGACCGTGCACAATACTGTCAAATGTGTAGGTATCTATAGAAACTTTTCGTAGGTGATAATGTCACCCTTGTTTATTATCAGCAGGTGTTGTCATGCTTTAGTCGCAAACGGTTTGAAAAGCGTTGACTTTTTTTAACTTTCTATAAGACACAAGTGGCAAGTTTAATACGAAATTTGTAATAAAATTTTTAAAGGAAGACTGGAAAAACCAAATTTTGTTTAATTTATTTATTTTTCACACAATTAACTACTTTGACTAAATAATGGTAATATAATTTATATTATATGGGTCATTTTTAGTCTATAGTATAATTTCAATTCACTGATTTTATTAATTCTTTTAAAGTGGGTATTAAATGAAATTGCTACTAGAGGTGATTTGGAATCTTATGGGTCACGACTTTTGGTAGCACAGTAGCAAAGCTCCGCCCCTTACTTCTTGAAAATATTATCTGTCAATGGTTAGAGGTTATTTAGAGCTCTCTCCCTGGCTGTAAAGCGAGGTACATGGTTATCGATGTTTTTAAAATGTACATATAATGTAATTGCAATACGGTCCGTCCTTAGTCCATTTCCCAGCCCATGATATATTGAAATACCTCTACTACTTTCAAACGCCTCGTCTACAGAATAATAACATAATAATTAACCATTTTAGCTGTACTTAAGTACAAGTGAATAGTTAACCGAATCAAAGATACAAAGCAAATTATAGATACCATTTAGTTCATGAAACCACTTGGATATTCGTGTGTTACAGAGAAATTAATAAGCCGGTGTGGCATCTGACAAGTACATGGATGCTTTGTAGTCTAATACAATTCTAGTAGGTATTCCATAGGTGAAATTGTCTCTCGCTCCAACGCAAAGGAGATAGTTGTATATTTATTTGAATTCGCGCGATATGTAGTGGAAATGTGTACGGACCTAAGGCAGCTCATCAAGATGAAAAGCAGTATGCAATTTGAAGCCCCTTCTGTCACAAAGAAGCATAATTTGCCGTCGGGGCGTTATTCACCTTAAGAAAACTCAAAAACTTTGTAACATTGTATACATATATCATTTAAGCGTCCATGGCGATTCTTTATCTCACTCTATTCTCACTTGGAGAGCCCTACACTGCATGTTTTGTGTACACAAACGCTAAAATATCAAAGTCGAGTGTTTACTGATACGAACAAACAAGAAAATTCTATTCAGAAAAGAACCCGAAGGAAAATGTGAAGTACCATACCAAAAATGACCTTAGCACTACTGCTTACAATGAAGTAAACGTTTTTTCATGTTTTTGGAAATTTTCTACATCTTTTTATGTCCTTCTATACTTTAAGAAATATCCCTTAGGGTAGACTTGTAATTCTTCTAAATGCAAATGTTTCACCAATATTCTCCCTTCAGGATAATAACAATTAATTTTATTAGTCACAATACGTGTCATATTAAGATTGGACTGTCTTTAACAATCAGTAATTCAATTAACCTACCACTGTGTCTTATATAACGTTAAATTAATTCTAAAAACGCCTCTTAACGCTTAAGTGTCGGTTCACACTAGGCTGTAACACCGCCGACTACAGAATTAAATTTCGCGCGGTATAACCGCTTAGTGTGGACGAATACTACAACGTAAAATGACAAATAGTTATGTGCCCCTTCGCGCAAATGTGTAAAAGCCTATATCTGTCCAACACCATTCATTCGTCAATTGTTACACGTACAATAAATTATAAAAAACGTATAATATCTGGCAATTGTGAGTTGCTTATTGTCAAAGAAGAAGACAAGGCACAAATTCTATTGCATCCGCGAGGGGCGAACTTACTCGGGAAATATGATGTGTAGCATAAAAACCTTGCAATATTTTCAATACATACGTATCATAAATTTTTACGGATAGAGATAAGTTCGGCCCTGGCAATAGATCTTCAGGTGTGCTGATTGCTCATTGTTTCAACGCTTAGTATGATTATTATTGGTACGCTTCGTGGGGCATCTTTTGGTTAATCTGACGCCTACAACAACATCTTCAAATCTATACTCATAAAGTAACGTTCACACAACACGTCTGTCGCGCGACTTTCCGCTGCGGTTCACCTTCGTCGCGCGACAAATATCTCTAGTGTGCGCTCAGCCTAAAACTGATCAATTGAAATTTTATAGCAGATTTAGAAACGTAACGCTTAATGAACTATCGTTGTCATGTGAATATATAATTGTGACCACCGAATTGTGTAAGTGACAAGACAATTTGGGTGTGGTTGTAGGTGTCAGAATTTACTGGAGATGCCGTATCACTACACTATTGATTGCCTAACTAGATTAGTGCCTATACACACTCTATGTAGTATGTACTGTATACATCATATACCTCTAGGATTAGCTTTATGAAATAAAATATGGTCTTTACGATTCTAATAAAGTCTGTACTGGAACGCGGACATATCAACAAAATACATATCAATGAGATTCTCTTTTGGATTCAACTTTTGTGCAAAATATACCACGCCAACGACGTAAAAATCGAGACGCTTTATTTTCTAGTGCTTTGTGCCGCATGTAGGAATAATGACGATTAACAGTTAGCTACCTAAAACATAAATAAATAGCAAGTAGTGTTTCGGCCTGGTTGTATACTTTGTAGGTAGATTATTCATTCGGTGTTTACCTGGCTAGTTTCTAAATTAACTAGCTCCTAACCCAGTTTGAAAAGAATGTTCTTGTTAATAAAACTGGTTTAGTATTTGTTAGTTTTAATTCAAAATTTGTAGTTAAAGTACGAACCAAAATCAATATGAATCATCGGTACATGTAATGGTGATCAGCTAAATTGAAAACTAGCCAGTAACCACTTTAACCATGACCCACTGACACATACAAAAAAAAAATAACGAACAAATACATATCAATGGAAAGACTTACTGTACTTTATTAGATAATACAATATAATATGTATAAGGGTAAATTCTCGTTTATTAACAAATTCATATATGTATATACACATATATTTATGCATTCTTACAGGTCGAAGGAAGTTGCCAAAGGTCATGCAACATCCAATACTTTCTTTCATAATTTTTGAAAACATTTTACGAAGAATATACGTAGATGAAAACATTCTATCAATTCTTTGTTAAATTTTCTCTTAGTAATTTTTTTAACAGGTGTCTAATAACTGAGTTATTGCTAATTAAATATGGTTGTAATTAAACCAATTACAGTTCTACTTGTAATTGACGATGATTCGCCTAATTCCGTTTGAACCAATCGTAATATAGAGTATTATGATTGAAACGCGGTTATATTAATTGAAATGAATGTTCAATTACAAAGGACTATAATTTTCCTTTTCATTTAAGGCATTAAAAGTTCTTTAAAAGTGTGAAAACATAATCCGAATTAATATCACTCTTACACTGTTCTACCTACTAATGTTGCAGGGTGAGACATTTTGGCAATTTCTTTTAGTTAGTAAAATGACCAACTACATACATATCACTGGAAAACTGTTTAAATTCTGTAGTTTTGCACTATTATAATTTAGACAATCACCTTTTTAAACAAAATAAAAGTCAATAAGAGGACACGTATCCCAACTTTCTTATGACATGCATTTCTCTGGATAATTCTGAGATTCACGTAAAATGTGGATATTATCCATTGATAAATAGAGTGAACGTTAATAGGTAATATATATATATATATTATATACTTATTATTTAGAGTCACCGAGGGTTGAAATTGATATCAACTTTATAACTAAACGTTATGTACAAACGTACATATATGTACATAAACAACTGAATTTAAATCTCAAAACATAGATTACTTTCTTATTTAAATTTCCAATTTGTTATGAAGTTTACATCGAAAAATCAACATGTACAGAAATACATAGAAAAGACGAGAAAAACGATGGCTTTTTCACCCAGTTTATTTGTCTATACGGTTTTATTTTTAAAATAAGTTACCATGTTAGGACGAAAAAAAAATATATATATATAGTAAAAAAAACTAACGTAGACGTTGTTATTAGTTGTAAAATTAGTTCTTTAGTTGAAGAGCGTACGATGTGCTTGTAAAAAGTTGAAAGATAAAATAATATAATATATATTTTTGTCAAGAAGGCTACTGAAGCTTTATTAAATGTTAAATACAATGTGTATTATTGTTTTTGTGTTTGATGTTAAGACGAGCTCTCGGTTGGTTTTTGATGTGATAAAAATATTATGTAGACGCGCTGTTAGATCTAAAAAATACAAGGATAAAAGAACTATGTCATAGGTACAAACATACGCAGTTTGGCAAATGAACTTAAAATTGTAATTTCTCTACAGAAGACACAAAGTTTGCTTGCCGAATTGCGTATCAGTAATTACTTTAACGTTTGTGTATCCATTATTAAGAATCTATGTTAGACAGATACCCACTTACAAAAAAAAAAGAAAAATGAGTAGGTACATATAGAGTTTCTGTTTGTTTTAACTTTCCGCTTTTGTAAAAACAGAATAGTGAAGCTAATTACAATTTAAAAATCCTACATTTCGATAGACGTGGACGTTGTTGGTGCAGTAGTTTTAAATTAACCATGTACTGTTATGCTTTGATCCGGCCAGATAGATTGGTTCGAGTTGATGGTAACGGTAATAAAGGCCCCCGTTAGTTCCATTGGCAGCAAGCTCTGTACAAAATGACGCTGCGCCACCGCAGGGTTGTATGATGGGGCAATCTCGTAAATGCGGTATTCATGTTGTTGTTTGTTTAAACCTCGTTCAACTGTCTTTGATGTTCTGTTAATTTTAATACGGTAAATGTTCTCGTGAGAGACGGGATGGGGGGTGAAATAGGGGGGAGTTAATATTTGTTCTAAATTTATCGTTTATGAATTAGGAAACAAAGCCTTAATCAATTATCGTTTTGTTTGTTCATGGCGAAAATTATTATAGAGGTAGACAGTATCTGTAATTACTAATTGAATATTGACGAAATTCTCACAGAGACAAGAAACTGATCGGTTTCAAAATTTTAGGTTCAGTAGTTTCGGAGATAAGGGGGGGGGTGCGGAATGGTCAATTTTCATCTAGTTTGTTAAATAAATTTAAAATTATTAACTATAAAAATAATATGGATATTTGAAACCCTTTATATGTCACAAGGTACAGTTTGCAATTTTTTTTTTTAAATGTCCTTTTGGTGCCCAAAAATGACCCCATGTTCAAAATTAATTTATTTACGTTGTGTCCGTGTTTGGGTCACAAAAATTCATACGTGTAAGTACTAAAATATCAACTTACCGGTCCAATAGCTTCGGAGCAAATTGACTGTGACAGACGGACAGACGTACGGAACCTAAAAAAGAAAATTATCAATGATTCAAATGTTTTTTTAAAGATGGATTTACAACGTTTCCTAATTGATAAAACTACGATTTGTTGCTAAAAATTTCTTGTGAAGGCGTGATTGTTTGACGCATTATTATTATTACCGTAAAAAATATTGTCCGTATGTGGCGAGCCGTCACAAAATCAGCTGTTGTTAAATGTTGTGTTACTTTTATGTACCTACGTTTTGATTGTAATGTTGTCTATGAACAAATTACCACTCTGAAGTCAATACTAATTAGACAGTAGTTAGTATACCTATACATACATACGATACATATAGCTTGGACAAATAAATGTAGCTTAATCTACTAACTAACTATTAAATACGATATAGTAGGCCTATAGCATACAATGAATGACTTTATTTTAATACTAATACTTTCCATATACGTTGTCGTCTTTATTTTAGCATCTTTGAATGGTATACCTGTAATTGTACAATAAGCGGCTATTATTTTGTGTATTTACTTTACAATGTTTGTAATACTTTTTTGTCTAACTTCAGTAAACAGAATAATAAAAGCCTGAATTGTAAAAAACGATTTTCATTAAAAAAAAATACCTCACATTCACATCAGCAACCACTTCTTATTTTTACCCTATATAAATTAAGGGAGAAGAATTTTGTGGTAATACTTTACCAATCAAACGCTAACGAGTGCAGATTATTTACTAATCATTACGTACAACTGACTTGTCTACGTATCAGCTGTTTGCGAACATCACAAATAGGTATGCGTGTTTCGACGAAAACTGAAAAGATAACGCGATTACTGTTTTTAATCATTGTGTGTATCTCTCACGGTTGTTTTGAATAATTTTCGGTGAAATTTTCTATTTTGGGTAAACCCCCGGCACTGTAAAATACTTTAATTTGCAGAAAGCAGAAATTTCGGAAGACGGCGAAACATGAGGAACGCACCGAAAAACTCATCAAACTTGAAATGGAATCTGAAAATGTGTGGAATGGTACAGTAGGCAGATTTAAGCTGGCATTTTAATTGTTTAATTGAAAAGTTAGGAAGTTGAAACAGCTCTGCCATTTTTAGAGTATATTTGAATTACTTTATCACAAATACAATAACAAAAAGTCAAAGAAACGAAACGTCTTACGTAATTTCATTCAACTTTAATCCATACTCAATTGTATGCCATAACAATATCTGCCTTAATAAAATTTCGCTTGGTACGTACTAGTTTATTGCTTATTGTGGAAATATGTATTTAATAAGAAATGAGATCAACAAAAGGCGTTTATGAGGGGAAATATTTTTTTAATTAAACAAACATTCGTAATCATCTGTAGCTTCTCTTCAACAAAAAGCTTTTTTAGAAGAATGCATTTCTATTCAGAATACGATTGGAACATCAAATATCCAAACATCTTCTCGGAACGCGAAAAGCGATTGCGATGTAGCTATAAATATTACTACGTTAAAAATCGAATCGAACGTACACATTTGTTACTATCCGACTGTAAATTTACGAGCATGCAACATCCACTCGTTACAGTTCAACGGTTGCAGATAGAAGACGAGCAATCTCCTTACATCTTGTTGAAATGTTGTCCAGGTGAATCCAAACAAAGCCACAAGCATCTCGGTAAACACGTTTCGATTTGTTTTCTCTTGAAACCTCAGGAACACAAGGGCATTTACGCCGTTTAGCAATTAAATATTTGTGGCAGAAGCAACATCTCTTTTTCTTCCTTGTTTGTTAAATAACTTCATATATAATTATTGAGAGATCGTATTGGCGCCTATGATATAGTATTTATGAGCCAAACATGTGGATTCTAAATTTCTGAATTTGTCGGGTGAGATTATGATTTTTAAAAATTAAGAACATAATTAAAACAATAGCGTACTGTATTGTATTACTAATTAGAAGTGCAAAGCGGAACATTAAAAGAATTTACTTCAACAAGACAGAAGGAAAAATGAGATCATTTTTCTATTTGCTGTAAGTGGATGTCGGAGTCGTGAATGGGATTGTAGTGCCTATTCGAATGAGGTTAATCTGGTGCCCTTGTTCACGTCAGCCGCGCTTCTTTGACACTTCGAGACATGCATCAAATTGTCTCCTTTCAATTCACATTCTAACATGTCGGAGAATCGAAAAGGCTTGTTGAGAATTGATAATAGACACAGATACGTATGTTTAAGGCTCGAATAAATCTGTTTTTCATTAGCTCTTGAAAAATTTCTTTTTAGCTAACTGGAATATCATTAAGTTATTATATTTATATGTTAACTTTGTATTACTGTTTTGTACTCATCATAGGCTCAAGGGAACTCGCCATGCGCTCAAGTGCACTCGCTATGCGCTCAAAAGTACACGAGTAGATGTGGACTCACCTGCAGTTTGTTTTGAACGAATTCTTTCTTTCGATAGAGTTGCAATTTATATTTATACATTTGTTTTAAATCAAAATTGAGTAGTGTGTATGCACACATGGGATATATAAATCGAATTAAAATGTCTGATTAGTATTTTTAGGGGAAATAGTTGTTTTCTTAGGTAAGAAAGCCATTTTGGGTAAGTTGGGTATATATTAGGAGAACCAGGCAGGTATAAACCACAGCAGTAAAGGCCCGTACATCCGTGTATATGTAATTAAAAGCAAAAGCACAAGGACGATGACGACGACGCTCGATAGCTACCACTACAACTAACAAGGAAGTTAAGATGCCACAAGAGGGTACTTGTGAATTTCTGCAAGCTGAATAAATCATTGAAGAGAAATGGAACACATAGCATTTTCACTAATAAACCTAGTTTCCAACCACGGACATATTTAAATATTTTAAATATAACACACCTTCTCTATTGTACTAATTATACCTATTAATTTATTACGACCAATACATTTCCGTCCTTGCAAACCCTACAACGCTGTGCTTATATACAAGTAAATAATAATCATTGCTGTACTAGATTTCTATGAAATAAGCACAGCTAAATATTAATCAGTTGTGTTAATTTCCTATTTTACAAGACAAGGATATCCGGGAATATTGCAGCTAGTAACTCATTACCTCGAAATGTCGCGTTTTCCGACTGAACTACCATGAAAAGTCAATTTCCCGATGTCGGGAAAGTCCATTAGTTGCAAGTAAAGATATCAGATATCTATTTAATAATGTGTTAATGATTGCTACAATTAGGAGCCGGAACAATAAACTTTGACCAATACAAACAACGACGTCCTAACCCATTTTTGATTGCATATAAAATTTCTTGCATGCGAAAATTTTGAACACATTTATTTTATCAATTATTATTTAGGTTTTCAATTTTACTAACGTGTTTGCTAATAGATTTTGGTTACTAATGTAATAGTTTTTTTTTTAATAATTAGTGTTGTGACTAAAGGAAAACCCATTTCGATTTTATTGCCGAGGAAGGAGTAAAAGTTGACTACTTTAGCTGAATCATTTTCAATCTGTATTAAGTTTTACCTTTAGAAATCGAAAAACCGAAAGCAGAAGCACTAAAACCTGGAAGCTAATGGATTTTAAATGTTACATACCGATTGAGGTAGATTCAGAGTAATGCAACGTATAGAAAGAGGATGCTTAGCTATTCAAGAAAATTCTACCTGAACGAGTTATACGAATGTTTTTGACCTACTTACAGAAAATCGATCGAAAAGCAATGTTTATCATTAATTTTTAATCTCCCAAATTGTTTTCCGTTTGCCAAAATACTTGTGGTTAGTTACTTGTAAATATTTCAGGTTTCTCATCCCCATAAATCCCAAATTTCAAAAAATATAAGTCGATGCTTTCTACTTAGTTCAAGAACATCAAAGCGAATTTTGTGAAACTAAATACCTATCGCGGTAGCCCCACGTATCAAAGAAAAATTTTTGATTATGGTGTGTAAAATTTATAACTGTACCCCTCCCAAAAAAAAAGAGAGAAATGTTTAGGTTTATTCCATCCCACAAAAAAGAAGGAGCATTCGAAAGAAGAAATGGTCCCATTGTCTGCACAATAGACATTTATATATTTTTATTTGCCTCCACTCCCAGTACCACCTAAAATAAGCTTTTAGTGTTTTACAAGATTTTACACCCTTCATTTACCCCTTTCACAATTTTCAATCGCACCCGTTGCGCCTCTACGTATTCACCCCAATCCACAAGGTTATCTCACATACTTACCCCTATCCAACCATGGATCTTATCTTGTAAACAATTTATCTACTGTTATTTACTTTGTATTTAAAATACATACTGAATTGTTTATTTGTTAGGGTAATTTTACAAAGTTGTAAGTTAATGTGACAATTTGCTACCTTTAAATTATATGACCTTTTTTATACCCTTTAAAAGATCAATTTTCAGGAAAAATAAAAATGATAAATACATAAATATCTACTTATTTAATAAACCTGACCTTTTTTGTGACTACCCCAACAACTTTTAATATAGTCGAAGTCTCGTTTATTATATTTTCATAAAATTCAAGTTAGAACCCCTCTTTCAAAGATTGAAAGATTTAATTTCCAAATTTATTTTTTATATGAACATCTGACATAATACAACAAATTTAATGTTCAAATATCACCTTCATATCTTCAGCGGTTTAGGCCCAGCGAGATTAAACGGTCAGAAAAGACATGTTTATTTATGTAGATAAGATATTGCTTTTCCAATAAAAATGGCGTACCTACCTTATACTAGTAAGTGTAGGAGGACGTTTTCAACATCGAATTTGGTCAATAAAATATCCGTAATATACGTATGAAATGCAGTATTACCGATACACACTAATGTTTACGACAGTCTAAAGCAACCCGTACACTAAGTGACACTACTGATAATTACCGATATCATTGATTATTCATAATTAATCAATGAGTAATCAACACCGATCGAATTGCCGGCACGCGTATGACACGATCAGATACACGAAGGCCTGTCGGAAAAACGAACGCGATCGCCGAGCTTTCTCTCGAACGTTAGGCGCTGTCTGGCGGAAAAGCGTGGAAACAACGCAAATAAACAACCGAATGACAAGACAATAAACAAACAAAGAAAAAAAGCTTACTTATGTTAGTATCTAACGTAATAACAGATTTATACTTTTCTTACAGAAATGTTATCCTTCTTAACGACCGAAAACATTAAAATGTCAAACTAAACCCTTCCTACCTAAAATTAAAAATCCTTCATTTATGCATAAATGAATTAAGTTTTCAATTAACTTTACCCACTACAAATAACCTCACAATGCATTGAATTTAACTCTACCAGAATTGAAAGTTTTTCAACTGTTCTTTATTATGATTTAAGAAGATATCAACAGTAATTTCAGCTTTCTCGGATAAGAACATCATTATTATTGAGATCTAAATATTTTGCGAACTGAATTTCGAAATATTAAAATAAATGTTTATAATAATAATGTGCAAGATGAATTTTTCTTTTACATGAGAACATCTTTGGCTCGTTTAACACCAGGGAAAACTTACTAACC